ATGCAGCTATAGGGCTGAAGATCTTCTGTCCTTCAGAAGCTCTTGTCGTGGCTGCAAACGTGGATTCCAGGAGGGCTGTCTGTAGAGGGCCATCTGTACCAGAGCCTTTACGCGCCATGGTGTTGCCAGGCGCGTTGAGACGCGTCAACGGTCGCGCTCTTGGGAGCTAAGTAGTAGAGAGGGGTGAGGAATTTGAGCCTCTGACTGTTTGATATGAATAATTAAAAAGGAAGTCGCCTATCAACTCGAAATCGAGGGCGGTCCAAGAGTAAGGGGGACGGGGAGTGGCTAACTACATATATACGCGGCACGCACGTGCCGCGTTAGACTAACTGATATCCAGTGCCGAAACGCGCTAGGTTTGATATTCACGTTCCGACAACAAGAGACGATCCGCCAGCTCTCTGTCGAGCTAACAGCCGCAAGAAACGTGATCAGCACGCAACAGGGCCTTATTACTACCCTTAACGCTAGGCTAGAGAGCCTTGAAACCTACGTGAACGCGCTACAAAGCCGTCAAATCCTACCACTCGACCCCTTTGACACAACGCGTGAGGTTGCGGCGCACGGGCCACCGCCAAGAGCCGCTTCCACGGGAGGCTTAGCGTCCACCCCAATACAGCTAGATGCCGCGCCTGAGAGCCGCGCGATAAACTCAACCGCACCTCAGCCGCAGCCGCGATATCAGAATCCAACAAAGGCTACGAAACAAGCCGTACAGCCACCTGAGGGCCCCAAAAAAGTATTTGGAACCGCCGCGCAGACCACCAAACAGCCTGAAACTACCGCTAAGCCACTGACCAAGCCCGCACCTACGAAATGGGCCGCTATTGCCGCGAATAATACCCAATCTGGAAATCCTCCATCGAAGCGAGATCCTGATTTGACGACAAACCACGCTTATTGAGCTTTCCAAGGGCCTTTGCAGGCTTCTTAGCATCGAAAAACCCTCATGGAAAGTCCAGAGAGGCTTCCAGGGGCCACTGGAGATCCAGAAATCATAGGACCTGGATCTGGGGTTGATTCATCGACACCCTCCCAGGAACCGTCACAGCTACCTCCAACTACCCGTGCACTATTTGCAGGACTTGGAGACTGTCAGAAACAGTCCAATGAACCTACTTTGAGCAATAGCGACGCTCTACAAGCGCCACGACAGACTGGAGAAACCCAACAAGCCCCAGGAACGATCCTCGAGAAAAGGAAGGCCTCAAGGCTGACTATAGGATCTCGGACTCCTATAACTAGGTCTGGATTGAGCGCGGCTCCGAAGAGGAAGATTACACTTACCGCAATGCGTGCAGCGAGTGCTCCTGCAGAGGATAGCCTCGTGATGGGCCTGATCGAGGACCTCAACGGCCATCTGCAAGAGGCGGTCCACCAGCTCTCCGCGGAGCTGACGACTGCCAGAAACGTGATCAATACCCAACAGGGCCTCATTACTACTCTCAACGCTAGGCTAGAGAGCCTTGAAACTTACGTGAACGCGCTACAAAGCCGTCAGATCCTACCACTCGACCCCTTCGCTGCAACGCGTGAGGTTGCGGCGCACGGGCCACCGCCAAGAGCCGCTTCCACGGGAGGCTTAGCGTCCACCCCAATACAGCTAGATGCCGCGCCTGAGAGCCGCGCGATAAACTCAACCGCACCTCAGCCGCAGCCGCGATATCAGAATCCAACAAAGGCTACGAAGCAAGCCATACAGCCACCTGAGGGCCCTAAAAAGCCCGCACCTACGAAATGGGCCGCTATTGCCGCGAATAACACTCAATCTGGAGGATGGAAAACCGTCCAGTATAAGAAACAAGCCTTGGCACCCTCGAAGGCTCTGTCAACAACTAATTTGAAGCCCGTATTATTATTATTATTATTATTATTATTATTATTATTATTATTATTATTATTATTATTATTATTAATCAAGTTTATTGTCCGTACCCAGCCCTACTGGCTATTATTATTATTATTATTAATCAAGTTTATTGTCTGTACCCAGCCCTACTGGCTATGACAGACCACTAGAAGCCTTGGTGACGCCCTACAGGCCTCACCCCTATCAGAATCATACATGCAAAAATTCAAAATAAATCACTATCTCGTCCCCATGTCGCCGATATGCCAGGGACCTTTGGGCACTCTCCCTAGGCTAATCCTTCCGGAGATCCCTTATAGTTCCAAACCCGTGGGCACGCCTAGTTGGTACAAACCCTGACTAGTGTGCCCTTATCCCTACCCATCCTCCAGTGTGACACCTAGGCCACCTTCCTCCAACGTATCCCATCCCCACACATCACTAATCTCAGCCTCTCTGGCTGTCCGCTCATTATCATTAAACAGGTTGGCTTCAGCCACAAATTGCAGCAAACCCTGCGTCGCCCTAGGCTCAGCAAATAGCCTAGCCTCAGGACTTTCCTCAGCCGCTGTAGGTAGCGGCACTCCAGCTTTCTCGAGGGCTCGGTATAAAGCCCTCCGTCCTGTACGGCGTCCTCGGCATTCAAAAAGCACATGCCTCACTGTCTCATGAGGCTCCTTGCATGCCTGACACTCGGGCGATTCCCGTCGGCCTATTCGGTGTAGATAGGTGCCGATTGGGGCATGTCCTGTCTTCAGCTGGTAGTACCGACTAGCCAATCTTTTTGGGGCTTTTCCCGCCACTGGGTCAAGGTTCCAACCTCGAGGCATCTTGTAGACACGTCCATCTCTATGTCTGCCTTGTACAGCATTGATTCGAGCCCATTCAGATACTGCAGCTCTCCTTGCTTCTGTGCAAGCCCTTCTAACGTGCGCTAGAGATAGGTCCTCAAAACCAGGCGCGGTTTGTTTACTAGCTGCACGTTTAGCAGCTTGATCAGCCTGCTCATTCCCTTCAATCCCAGAGTGGCCTGGGACCCATTGTATTGTGACCGGTTGGCCTCTCAAGGCTAGTTTCTCAGCTGCCTTGTGAGCCCTGAGAACAAGGGCTTGCCCAGGGCCTGGCCTTGTCGATCTGAGGCGATCAATAGCATTCTGTGCGTCAAGTAACACCCAGATAGGACCAAGAGGTTGCCTCTCCAGTGCCCATTCAAGGGCTGTGGCTACTCCCACTAGTTCTGCGTCAAAGACCTCGTGTCCGTGGCCCATTGGCACCTCTACGTGTTCCCAGGGGCCTCCAGGTACAGCCTGTAAAGTGACACCGGCTCCTGCACGTCCTGTATCGAGTCTAGAGCCGTCTGACCAAAACGTTGTTCCAGCACGCTGTTGATTAGCCTCTGTTAGGGCCTCTTCCTTGTCAAGTACTCGGATCGAGCCTGGGAAGCTTTTGAGCTCATATTGTTCAGTTCTCTCAATTCCTCCAGAGGGGTCTCTGTTCAACCGTTGAGCAAGGTGCTTTGCAAGCCTTTGGCCAAGTCGATTTAGCACCTTGTTGTCTCTAGAGGCCCATTCACGGTCGTCCAGTGGTTGCTCTCCAGGTTGTGCGTGGAGGTCACCATGTCTGAGGGTGACTGGAAGTATCTGCGCTGTAGGATGCGTGTCAGGCAGAGCTAGTAGCCTCGCTGTGTATCGAGCTACTCTAGCGTCCAGTAAGACTGTCGCTGGCTCTAACGCTGCCTCTCTGATTAGGGCTCCGATTGGGGTTTTTGGGAACATGCCCGTAATACCTCTGGCTTGCTTATTGATCAGAATCTGGATCCTTTGTGCCCATGTTTTCTGGCCTTGCCACCATATCTCGGCACCCCATAGCAATTGGGCTTGCACTGTAGCCTTCTGTATGCGCCTCACTAATGCTGGAGGTAACCCATTAGCTCTGCAGAGTGAGTTTAACCTGATTATCGTATTTCTTGCTGTCTTAATTCGAGCGTTGTAGTGGCTCTTCCATGTAAGTTGGTTATCTAGGAGTATCCCTAGCCACCGTACTGTAGATTTGACAGTTGCCAACTCGCCTCCAACCCTGATCCGGGCTCGAGATACGTTTTGGGCCACTTGACGTCTGTGTCGTCTATAAAAGAAAGCGGCCTCAGTCTTTTTGCGATCAAATTGTACCCCGTTAGCCACCCCCCACTCGATGGCTACTTCCGCGGCTTTCTCGAGGATCCTACAAGCCTCCTTCACTGAGCTTGCGGCTGTTACTAGGCCTTGGTCGTCCACAAAGGACAGACATCGAACCTCTGGCACACTCCTCTCAATGGCTCTTGATAGCCCATGAACGTATAGAACAAAGAGAATGGGTGACACCGGAGAGCCCTGAGGTAACCCAGAGCTTATTGGTACTTCCTTTCCCACGTGTCCATCAATCACAAGAGTGACTCGCCGGTCAGATAGAAATGAGATCACCCAATGTATAAGATCTCCATCCACGCTAGCCTCTCTGAGTACCTCTACCAGTTTTGCTAGGATGACATGGTCAAAGGCCCCCTCAATATCCATAAATAGAGCTGCAGCTAACTTTCTATTTGCCCAAGCTTGATGGATCTCCTCAACTAGACATGCCACAGCATCAATTGCACTGCGTTGCCGACGGCCTCCAAATTGACCATCATGGAAGAGGTCTTGAGCCTCTGCAAAGTTTGTAATTAACTCTGCTACGAGCTTCTCAATTACCTTGCCTAGGCACTTCAATAGGCTTATCACTCGATACGCACTAGCCAGTGTGTAGTTGGTTTTACCGTTCTTTCTCAGTAGAACTCCCTTGGCTGTTTTCCAGACACGTGGATGTATCCCAAGCCTAAGGCACTGCCTAGTCAGGCTAACCACACGCTCTGAGTCTAGATTCCATAAGAGCCTGATAGCCCTGAAGTTCAGTAAATCTGTACCTGGAGCTTTCTCTAGTCCCTGGCTAAAGAGGGCATTCTTAACAACTTCCTCGTTAACCAGCTTGTGGGCCGATCCTCGCTCAGGAAGCTGTAACTCCATGTTACTGTTTGGAGCCTGTGGAAATGCACGGTGTCTAAAAACCTCCTCCTTCTCGCTAAAGGTGGCTGCAATCACCTCCCCTGAGGCCTCATCGGTGAGGGCTGGTGTGGTGCCTTGTGTTTGTGGTTTAGTATAGCGTAAGGCTGTCCAGCACCGTTTCTGATCTGGCAGAGAGCCCTCAGACGTGCCCTGAAGGAAACCCTCCCAGCACTCTCTTTTAGCTCTCCTGATCAGTGAATAGAAGCTCTTACGTGCTTCTCGATGCTCCTCGTCGCTAATCTCACCCGCTTGGTAGGCCTTACGAGCCTTGGAATACACGCTTCGTTCTGCCTCAATCTCACTGTTCCACCACCGCTTAGATCGAGCACAAAGCCTGATCTGTTTGCAGTGCTTGTTCAGGACCTCTGTCAATGTTCTCTCGATCCACTCGGCTTCACGTTCCACTTCCTCTGTTAAGGTTGTGTCTGTTAGTATTGGTTGAGTCTTTGCTAGTTCGTTCCAGGTGTCTTTTGCCTCCTGCAGAGCCTTTTTATCTCCTAGTAGAGCCTCTATCTGCCACCCTGTGACTTCTTTCCTTGTGGGCTCTGTACTCGTAGTTGCTGGAGGTTCCCAGCTAGCCCAGATCATAACATGATCTGACGGCGTGAGCCTCTGGCTTTCGATTTCCCATCCAGATAGAGGGCCAAGGGCTTGACTACTGATTGTGAGATCAATAATTGAGACCCTAGTCTCAGTAGATGTTTCAAATGATGCTGTAGAATCTCTAGGCTTATGAGGCCTTGTTGGCTCGTCAGGGTCGTTATTAATAAAGAGGTCATGCCTCATTATTAGATCCTCGAGGGATCTTGCGTTAACCCTCTGGTCGATATGGACATTCCACATCGGGCTGTGGGCGTTGAAGTCTCCAAGAATGAGGCATCGACCCTCTAGAATTGGTCCCCAATCAAGATCCGTGAGGGCTCTTCTTGTAAGTAGGCTCTCTCCTGAGTATGTATGACGTGCACCTAACCAGTTGTCATAGCAGTTCACTATCCTCGTACGCCTCCCCTGTTCTAGCACGTCAACCACCATAAAATATGGATGGTTAGCTAGATCTGTACGCGCCTCCACCACTAATTCTCTCACTAAATCTCTCCGAATCGCTGTCACTACTCGAGCATGTTCTCGAGGACCCTCAGGCCAGTAGAACAGGAAGCCAGGATGGCTTATCTGGTATTTTCCACGTACTGGGGGTTCCTGGAGACAGGCTATCCCGGCACCAGCCTGTAGTGCCACTTCTAGGGCTGTATGTACTACAGCGCCTGTACGGGCACAGTTGTGTTGTAGTACTATCATAGATCCTCACTTTGAGGCGCTTCAGTGGCTGACTTGAGCTCTGGCTCTAGTGGTTGTTGGCTATTTCCCTCGTGAATATCAGCCTCTAATTGCATCTCAGGCAGCAATTCATCTTCTTCTGGAGTTGACGTCTCCTCCTCTAGAGACTGTCCAGGTCTCTCCTCCGAGGTCAGTACCGGTTTTGGAGGCACTACCGCGAATGTCTCATCTAATGGGATGAGGTCTTGTAAGGATTGTTCCCTCATTCTCCGGATAGCCCTTTGACGAGCCTCCCTAGCTTTAGGGCACTTAGGAGATGTAGCCTCGTGTGCACCTTTGCAGTTAGCACACCTGATTACTGTGTGTTTGCAAGGTTTAGCTGGGCCAACCCTACAATCCACTACTGTACATGAGTGCTCTATTGCCTCATGGTCACCTGCGCAGATCGCGCATTTAGGAGGTTTGCCACCACAAGCCATGAAGCCAGAGTGGCCAATTCCGCAGCATCGAGGGCAGATACTCTCAGGATTTGACTCCCAATAAGGTGCTACTCGATGGTGCCGGCCACCAAACTTGATGCCTTTATTGATCAGTGTTCGAGCTTCCTCCAAAGAACCTACTGTCATCACAATCGTGGCAAATCTCTGGTTGCTAGCCTGTATAGTCTTAGCTCTTTTGAGCCACGTTGGCTCTCGTTTAAGCCTATATGGTGTTCCCAGCTCAATCTCTTCTTGGGCTAGTGCTAGGCCTTGGTCATTATACATGTAGCGGTCCACAGGCACTGCCTGTACCTTAACACGGTGCCACTGTTCGCTAATCTCCACAGAAATAACTGCTGGATCTGTTTGCCTTACAGCGGCTAGTAGAGTGTCGTTATGGACGGGCACGAGGGTGCTGCTGCGAGTGCCTCGCTCTAGGAGCACTGTTAAGGCCCCTGAGGCCGCGTATCCAGAATCGACCGCTCTTACAAAGTCAGGCAAACCTGCCTTAGCAAGGGCACGGTTAAGGGCTAAGAGGATATCGGCTTTCAATGCGGTAGGAGCATCTTTAGGATATCGTCGTCTAAAGATTAGCCGCCTCTCCTCCTTACTCCGGGTACTTACGGGCTTCAAATTAGTTGTTGACAGAGCCTTCGAGGGTGCCAAGGCTTGTTTCTTATACTGGACGGTTTTCCATCCTCCAGATTGGGTGTTATTCGCGGCAATAGCGGCCCATTTCGTAGGTGCGGGCTTTTTAGGGCCCTCAGGTGGCTGTATGGCTTGCTTCGTAGCCTTTGTTGGATTCTGATATCGCGGCTGCGGCTGAGGTGCGGTTGAGTTTATCGCGCGGCTCTCAGGCGCGGCATCTAGCTGTATTGGGGTGGACGCTAAGCCTCCCGTGGAAGCGGCTCTTGGCGGTGGCCCGTGCGCCGCAACCTCACGCGTTGCAGCGAAGGGGTCGAGTGGTAGGATTTGACGGCTTTGTAGCGCGTTCACGTAGGTTTCAAGGCTCTCTAGCCTAGCGTTGAGAGTAGTAATGAGGCCCTGTTGGGTATTGATCACGTTTCTGGCAGTCGTCAGCTCCGCGGAGAGCTGGTGGACCGCCTCTTGCAGATGGCCGTTGAGGTCCTCGATCAGGCCCATCACGAGGCTATCCTCTGCAGTAGCACTCGCTGCACGCATTGCGGTAAGTGTAATCTTCCTCTTCGGAGCCGCGCTCAATCCAGACCTAGTTATAGGAGTCCGAGATCCTATAGTCAGCCTTGAGGCCTTCCTTTTCTCGAGGATCGTTCCTGGGGCTTGTTGGGTTTCTCCAGTCTGTCGTGGCGCTTGTAGAGCGTCGCTGTTGCTCAAAGTAGGTTCATTGGACTGTTTCTGACAGTCTCCAAGTCCTGCAAACAGTGCACGGGTAGTTGGAGGTAGCTGTGACGGTTCCTGGGAGGGTGTCGATGAATCAACCCCAGATCCAGGTCCCATGATTTCTGGATCTCCAGTGGCCCCTGGAGGCCTCTCTGGACTTTCCATGAGGGTTTTTCGATGCTAAGAAGCCTGCAAAGGCCCTTGGAAAGCTCAATAAGCGTGGTTCGTCGTCAAATCAGGATCTCAGAGATCGTTCCTCTGGATGACTTTCAAAGAATCAGCATGTCCTGTCTTTAACTGGTAGTATCGACTAGCCAATCTTTTCGGAGCTTTTCCTGCCACTGGGTCAAGGTTCCAACCTTGAGGCATCTTGTAGACACGTCCATCTCTATGCCTGCCTTGTACAGCATTGATTTGAGCCCATTCAGATACTGCAGCTCTCCTTGCTTCCGTGCAAGCCCTTCTAACGTGCGCTAAAGATAGGTGCTCAAAACCAGGCGCGGTTTGTTTACTAGCTGCACGTTTAGCAGCTTGATCAGCCTGCTCGTTCCCTTCAATCCCTGAGTGGCCTGGGACCCATTGTATTGTGACTGGCTGGCCTCTCAAGGCTAGTTTCTCAGCTGCCCTGTGAGCCCTATTATTATTATTATTATTATTATTATTATTATTATTATTATTATTATTATTATTATTATTATTAATCAAGTTTATTGTCCGTACCCAGCCCTACTGGCTATGACAGACCACTAGAAGCCTTGGTGACGCCCTACAGGCCTCACCCCTATCAGAGTCATAACATGCAAAATTCAAAAATCACTATCTCGTCCCCATATCGCCGATATGCCAGGGACCTTTGGGCACTCTCCCTAGGCTAATCCTTCCGGAGATCCCTTATAGTTCCAAACCCGTGGGCACGCCTAGTCCGTGCAAACCCTGACTAGTGTGCCCTTATCTCTACCCATCCTCCAGTGTGGCACCTAGGCCACCTTCCTCCAACGTATCCCATCCCCACACATCACTAGACTCAGCCTCTCTGGCTGTCCGCTCATTATCATTAAACAGGTTAGCTTCAGCCACAAATTGCAGCAAACCCTGCGTCGCTCTAGGCTCAGCAAATAGCCTAGCCTCGGGGCTTTCCTCAGCCGCTGTAGGTAGCGGCACTCCAGCTTTCTCGAGGGCTCGATATAGAGCCCTCCGTCCTGTACGGCGTCCTCGGCATTCAAAAAGCACATGCCTCACTGTCTCATGAGGCTCCTTGCATGCCTGACACTCGGGCGATTCCCGTCGGCCTATCCGGTGTAGATAGGTGCCGATTGGGGCATGTCCTGTCTTCAGCTGGTAGTACCGACTAGCCAGTCTTTTTGGGGCTTTTCCCGCCACTGGGTCAAGGTTCCAGCCTCGAGCATCTTGTAGACACGTCCATCTCTATGCCTGCCTCGTACAGCGTTGATTCGACTCGAGCCCATTCAGATACTGCAGCTCTTCTTGCTTCCGTGCAAGCCCTTCTAACGTACGCTAGAGACAGGTGCTCAAAACCGGGCGCGGTTTGTTTACTAGCTGCACGTTTAGCAGCTTGATCAGCCTGTTCATTCCCTACCACTCCTGAGTGGCCTGGAACCCATTGTATTGTTACTGGCTGACCTCTCATAGCTAGCTTCTCCACTGCCCTGTGAGCCCTAAGAACAAGGGCTTGCCCAGGGCCTGGTCTTGCTGACTTGAGGCGATCAATAGCATTCTGCGCGTCAAGGAGTATCCAGATAGGACCGAGAGGTTGCCTCTCAAGTGCCCATTCAAGTGCTGTAGCTACTCCCATTAGTTCCGCGTCAAAGACCTCATGTCCATGGCCCATTGGCACTTCTACGTGTTCCCAGGGACCCCCGGGTACAGCTTGTAAAGCTACTCCAGCTCCTGCACGTCCTGTATCGAGTCTGGAGCCATCAGACCAAACCATCGTTCCAGGGCGCTGTTGATTAGCCTCTGTTAGGGCCTCTTCATTGTCAAGGACTCGGATCGAGCCTGGGAAGCCTTTAAGCTCGCATTGTTCAGTCCTTTCGATTCCTCCCGAGGGGTCTCTGCTCAGCCGTTGAGCGAGGTGCTTTGCCAGTCTTTGACCTAGTCGATTCGGCATCTTATTGTCTCTAGAGGTCCACTCACGGTCATCTAGCGGTTGCTCTCCAGGTTGTGCGTGGAGGTCACCATGTCTAAGGGTTCCTGGAAGTATCTGCGCTGTAGGATGCGTGTCGGGCAGTGTCAGTAGCCTCGCTGTATATTGAGCCACTCTAGCGTCCAGTAAGGCTGTCGCTGGCTCTAATGCTGCCTCTCTGATTAGAGCTCCAATTGGGGTCTTTGGGAACATGCCCGTGATAGCTCTGGCTTGCTTATTGATTAGAACTTGGAACCTCTGTGCCCATATTTTCTGGCCTTGCCACCAAAATTCGGCACCCCAAAGGAGTTGGGCTTGTGCCGTAGCCTTTTGTATGCGCCTCACTAATGCTGGGGGTAGCCCATTAGCTCTGCAGAGTGAGTTCAGCCGGATTATCGTGCTTCTTGCTATCTTGATTCGAACGTTGTAGTGATTCTTCCATGTAAGACGGCTGTCCAGGAGTATACCTAGCCACCGTACTGTTGGTTTGACAGTCGCCAACTCGCCTCCAACCCTGATCCGGGCTTGAGATATGTTTTGGGCCACTTGACGTCTGTGTCGTCTATAAAAGAATGCGGCTTCAGTCTTTTTGCGATCAAATTGCACCCCGTTGGTCACCTTCCACTCAATGGCTACTTCGGCTGCTTTCTCAAGGGTCCTACAAGCGTCCTTCACTGAGCTTGCGGCTGTTATCAGGCCTTGGTCATCCACAAAGGATAGACATCGAATCTCTGGCACACTCCTCTCAATGGCTCTGGACAGCCCATGAACATACAAAACAAACAGGATAGGTGACACCGGAGAGCCCTGAGGTAGCCCAGAGCTTATCAATGCTTCCTTTCCAATGTGTCCGTCAATCACGAGGGTGACTTGCCGATCAGATAGAAACGAGACTACCCAGCGTATAAGGTCTCCATCCACGCCAGCCTCTCTGAGGACCTCGATTAGTCTGGCTAAGACAACATGGTCAAAGGCCCCCTTAATATCCATAAACAGTGCTGCAGCCAGCTTCCCATTCGCCCAGGCTTGGTGAATCTCCTCAACTAAGCATGCCACGGCGTCAATTGCACTGCGTTGCCGACGGCCTCCAAATTGGCCATCGTGGAAGAGATCTTGGGCCTCTGCAAAGTTTGTGATTAACTCTGCAGCGAGCTTCTCAATCACCTTGCCCAGGCATTTCAATAGGCTGATGACCCTATAGGCACTTGCCAGTGTGTAGTTGGTCTTGCCAGTTGAGTCCAATATCATTGTGCGCTTGGGTGTCTTCTATGCGGCCCCCCATGCCCACAATCCCTGATCTAGCAGGTGTGCTTGTGGCTATTAGGACGCCTATTACTTTGCTCGCAATATCAATGGCTTTGTCCCTATCCCTTTCACATATCGTTTGTATCCGGCCTGTCCATGGTGGTACTGTAAATGCTTGGATAGTCTCTATCCGCTCACTTGCTATTGCCTCTAGTAACTGAGCTATCCTCTGTAGCGGAGACCTGAACCTCCGGGTTGTAATGGTTCTCAGTTTGACCAGGGGGTTTGATTTAGGTAGTGTCTGGATGTCGATCCGCAGTTTCGTAGCTTTCTCCATATGTCGATTGTGGAAAGGCTGGATGCCTGCTTCTGCCTCTGCCACTGCAGTTGCCACTGTCTGAAAGGCTCCTGTAACTGCGATTGCTCCATGTTTCTGCATTCTATTCAAATACTGTGTCTCTTTTGTTCCACAGCCATGCATCCAGACACTAGAGGCATAATCTCCACTGTTGCTCTAAACAATTGCCTTGCTGTCCGTGGGGATATCAATTTCAGTCTTCTCAGCGCCATCGCTGCTGTGAGCCCTTTGGTGGCAGCATTGGCAATGTGCTTCTTGAAGCGTAGTTGGGAGTCCATCACTACCCCTAGGATCTTTGCACTATCCTTTGGTTTGACCATTTTTCCTCTATTATTATTATTAATCAAGTTTATTGTCCGTACCCAGCCCTACTGGCTATGACAGACCACTAGAAGCCTTGGTGACGCCCTACTGGCCTCACCCCTATCAGAATCATACATACAAAAATTCAAAATAAATCACTATCTCGTCCCCATGTGGCCGATATGCCAGGGACCTTTGGGCACTCTCCCTAGGCTAATCCTTCCGGAGATCCCTTATAGTTCCAAACCCGTGGGCACGCCTAGTCCATTTTTTTTTTTTTTTTTTTTTTTCCTGTAATTGTGAATGGCGTACTGCTCGACCGATCTATATTCCGGGTGAAGTGCACAATGACTGTCTTTTCACTTTCAAATGTAGCTCCACTCCGTCTCTCCCAGTCTAGAGCTCTATCAATTATAGCCTGGGTGCCGGGTCGGTTTGATTCGGCAGTGGGACCTATCACCCAGGCTGTGTAATCATCCACAAATGCAATTGATCCTCCGGAGGCACTTATCCTGTGTTGTACTAGATCTGCGTTGAAGAAAAGGAATAGTATTGGGGACAGTGGTGATCCTTGTGGTAAGCCTGCCTGTGGTAGTTCCCGTTGTTCGCTTGGAAATCCATTGACCGGGGTGCCGAGATATGGTGGCAAGGCCAGAAAACATGGGCACAAAGGATCCAGATTCTGATCAATAAGCAAGCCAGAGGTATTACGGGCATGTTCCCAAAAACCCCAATCGGAGCCCTAATCAGAGAGGCAGCGTTAGAGCCAGCGACAGTCTTACTGGACGCTAGAGTAGCTCGATATACAGCGACGCTACTAGCTCTGCCTGACACGCATCCTACAGCGCAGATACTTCCAGTCACCCTCAGACATGGTGACCTCCACGCACAACCTGGAGAGCAACCACTGGACGACCGTGAATGGGCCTCTAGAGACAACAAGGTGCTAAATCGACTTGGCCAAAGGCTTGCAAAGCACCTTGCTCAACGGTTGAACAGAGACCCCTCTGGAGGAATTGAGAGAACTGAACAATATGAGCTCAAAAGCTTCCCAGGCTCGATCCGAGTACTTGACAATGAAGAGGCTCTAACGGAGGCTAATCAACAGCGTGCTGGAACAACGTTTTGGTCAGACGGCTCTAGACTCGATACAGGACGTGCAGGAGCCGGTGTCGCTTTACAAGCTGTACCTGGAGGCCCCTGGGAACACGTAGAGGTACCAATGGGCCACGGACACGAGGTGTTTGACGCAGAACTAGTGGGAGTAGCCACAGCCCTTGAATGGGCACTGGAGAGGCAACCTCTTGGTCCTATCTGGGTGTTACTTGACGCACAGAATGCTATTGATCGCCTCAGATCGACAAGGCCAGGCCCTGGGCAAGCCCTTGTTCTCAGGGCTCACAAGGCAGCTGAGAAACTAGCCTTGAGAGGCCAACCGGTCACAATACAATGGGTCCCAGGCCACTCTGGGATTGAAGGGAATGAGCAGGCTGATCAAGCTGCTAAACGTGCAGCTAGTAAACAAACCGCGCCTGGTTTTGAGTACCTATCTCTAGCGCACGTTAGAAGGGCTTACACGGAAGCAAGGAGAGCTGCAGTATCTGAATGGGCTCGAATCAATGCTGTACAAGGCAGACATAGAGATGGACGTGTCTACAAGATGCCTCAAGGTTGGAACCTTGACCCAGTGGCAGGAAAAGCGTCAAAAAGATTGGCTAGTCGGTACTACCAGCTGAAGACAGGACATGCTCCAATCGGCACCTATCTACACCGAATAGGCCGACGGGAATCGCCCGAGTGTCAGGCATGCAAGGAGCCTCATGAGACAGTGAGGCATATGCTTTTTGAATGCCGAGGACGCCGTACAGGACGGAGGGCTTTATACCGAGCCCTCGAGAAAGCTGGAGTGCCGCTACCTACAGCGGCTGAGGAAAGCCCCGAGGCTAGGCTATTTGCTGAGCCTAGAGCGACGCAGGGTTTGCTGCAATTTGTGGCTGAAGCTAACCTGTTTAATGATAATGAGCGGACAGCCAGAGAGGCTGAGATTAGTGATGTGTGGGGATGGGATACGTTGGAGGAAGGTGGCCTAGGTGTCACACTGGAGGATGGGTAGGGATAAGGGCACACTAGTCAGGGTTTGTACCAACTAGGCGTGCCCACGGGTTTGGAACTATAAGGGATCTCCGGAGGGATTAGCCTAGGGAGAGTGCCCAAAAGTCCCTGGCATATCGGCCACATGGGGACGAGATAGTGATTTATTTTGAATTTTTGTATGTATGATTCTGATAGGGGTGAGGCCGATAGGGCGTCACCAAGGCTTCTAGTGGTCTGTCATAGCCAGTAGGGCTGGGTACAGACAATAAACTTGATTAATAATAATAATAATAATACAAACACAAGGTACCACACCAGCTCTAACTGACGAGGTCTCTGGGGAGGTGATTGCAGCCACCTTTAGCGAGAAGGAGGAGGTTTTTAGACACCGCGCTTTTCCACAGGCTCCAAACAGCAACATTGAGTTGCAGCTTCCTGAGCCTGGATCTGCCCACAAGCTGGTTAACGAGGAAGCAGTCAAGAATGCCCTCTTTAGCCAGGGGCTAGAGAAAGCTCCAGGTACAGATTTACTGAACTTCCGAGCCATCAGGCTCTTGTGGAATTTAGATTCAGAGCGCGTGGTCAGCCTAGTAAAGCAGTGCCTTAGGCTTGGGATACATCCGCGGATCTGGAAAATAGCTAAGGGGGTTCTCTTGAGAAAGAACGGTAAAACCAACTACACACTGGCTAGTGCATATCGAGTGATAAGCCTATTGAAGTGTCTAGGCAAGGTGATTGAGAAGCTCGTGGCAGAGCTAATCACAAACTTTGCAGAGGCCCAAGATCTCTTCCACGATGGCCAATTTGGAGGCCGTAGGCAACGCAGTGCAATTGATGCCGTGGCATGCTTAGTTGAGGAGATTCACCAAGCCTGGGCGAATGGGAAGCTGGCTGCAGCACTGTTTATGGATATTAAGGGGGCCTTTGACCATGTTGTCTTAGCCAGACTAATCGAGGTCCTCAGAGAGGCTAGCGTGGATGGAGACCTTATACGCTGGGTAGTCTCGTTTCTATCTGATCGGCGAGTCACCCTTGTGATTGACGGACACATTGGAAAGGAAACATCGATAAGCTCTGGGCTACCTCAGGGCTCTCCGGTGTCACCTATCCTGTTTGTTTTGTATGTTCATGGGCTGTCTAGAGCCATTGAGAGGAGTGTGCCAGAGATTCGATGTCTATCCTTTGTGGACGACCAAGGCCTGATAACAGCCGCAAGCTCAGTGAAGGAGGCTTGTAGGACCCTTGAGAAAGCAGCCGAAGTAGCCATCGAGTGGGGGGTGACCAACGGGGTGCAATTCGATCGCAAAAAGACTGAAGCCGCATTCTTTTATAGACGACACAGACGTCAAGTGGCCCAAAACATATCCCAAGCCCGGATCAGGGTTGGAGGCGAGTTGGCGACTGTCAAACCAACAGTACGGTGGCTAGGTATACTCCTGGACAGCCATCTTACATGGAAGAATCACTACAACGCTCGAATCGAGATAGCAAGAAGCACGATAATCCAGTTGAACTCACTCTGCAGAGCCAATGGGCTACCCCCAGCATTAGTGAGGCGCATACAAAAGGCTACGGCACAAGCCCAACTCCTTTGGGGTGCCGAGTTTTGGTGG